AGATCAGATGAGTTTAGTCTGAGTCTCAGTTTGAGTTCCAGGTCCAGTTCCAGCTCCGTTCGAGTCCTAACCCCGATAAAGGCAAACCGATAGACAAATAAACAGCAGGTACCCAGGATTCGAACCCAGGACGGCAATTAAAGCCTGCCGTACTGGCTACAGTTGATTTAGTCAATACCATAGAGACCCCTGGTGTATTACCTTCTTCATTGACGCTGCCCGGAGCACGTGGAGCAGCACACCACGCCGAAAGCTGGCGCCCGAGGCAACCCGTGACCTGAACTCGGCGTCAAAGTGACCCGTATCGCGTAAAGAGCGTTACACTTTATAATCTTTGAAGTTACTATGACAGTTTTTCGGTGGTAGAGATTGATTTAACATAGTGATAAATCCAATATAAAGTACACGAATTTTTCATTTTGAAATTGTAGATATCATTCGTCACCTGCAGGTGAACTTACCTTTGAGATTGATTTGACAGCTGTCTCCAGTATACCACTGGAAACACTCACAGAGCACTTCATTTCCACCTCTTGAATAGCAGGTGCCATGGTAACTACACCTCTCACATCCGACTTGTTCCGCAGAACACAATCTTCCCGGATATACCATGTTCTCAGATAAATCTGAGAAACCTTCTTTACAGCTACAGGTGTATGTTCCTCTCAAGTTGAAACAATGTGCATTCTCTGAACAATCGTTGAAAGAGGGGAAAGAGCATTCGTCGAAGTCGTCGGCTTTGAGCACGTCTGTAGGTGAAGCAAAAATGTCGGTTCCGCCTAAGCTGTGGTTGTTACTTTTCAAATACTTCTGGAAAATGTCCATCAGCCTATCTTCTTCGATATTATCGGACAATTGGAGATAAAATTTGCTGACGATGCCTTTTGGATCTGGTTCGAAAGAGTTCACTTTCACTCCGTGAAATATGTCTCTCAGATCAGACTGCATGACCATTCTGTTCAATCCCTCACGAGTTGCTTGAGCAAATTTGTTGAATTCCGTTGAATTCGAGTCTTTCAAATCATCATAAAAATGAAGCATGTCCCTTCCGATTCTTTCCAAGGTGATATTCAATTCATATGTGTAAGTTGCTGAAAAAATAAAATGATACATTGTGATTTCGGATCAAAATCATTTTCGACATCATAAATGAATAATACTTACGCAAGCACGGTCTATCGGGAAACATCCTAGCAAATCCAGGTCTGCAGACACATCTCATAATTCCTTCCAATTTTTGACAAAGTTCATTCCTTGATGGTTTACATTCGGGCTCACACCTATCCTTAGCTTTTCCTTCTTTTTCTCGTGGATGGTTGGCAATCAAAATACCGCCCAGTAAAACGTTATTCACTTTATTAGTTGCTATCATTTCATCTCGTTCCTGGATTTCAAAGGTACTGTTTGGAACTTGAATTATACTTTTGGTATTTTTGTCAGATATTACCACTAAGATTGATTCATTCGCATCTGCTTGATCCTTCTCATTAGGAATTGTTGGTGGGGGAGTTTCGTGAATAATGATGTCAAGATCATCATCACTGTCGTTTGTTATAAAATTCAAAGTTGAACTAGAAGCGCTAAGAACTGTTTTCGCGATATTGGGTTTTATCTGAATAGAGGGATATGGACTGCCGTATACTTCTGGAGGATATAAAGAATTGCCCTGTTGAATTGTTGTGGTAACTGTTTCTATGATATTCGTCGGCTTCACCAAAGTATGAACTTCGGTAATAGTATCGATGATTGTTTTTCTTTCTGTAGTTGTTATCAATATAGTTGACGTAGATGGCTTCTTCATGCCATGTGATTTCACCACTGTTGTTTTAGTGATAGTTACCGTGGCCGTTTTCATGTGGGTGATATATTTGGTGGGAACTGTTTTTATTCCAATCGAGGTTATAGACGGAATTCTATTTGTAGTTGAAACAGACGTAGAATCATCACTGATTTTTATTTCGTTTCCAGCATGATGAACACCTTTCGATGCAATGTCTGTTGTATTGAGAATTGAATGAATTTCAAAGTCACGTGTTGGTATACCACTTTCTATCGCTGAAAGATCGGATATATCATTCGTGAACAATGCAGTTTTTTCTGTAGCCGGTGTATTGAAGAAAATCTCTGATGCAGCGAGCTCGACGCTTTGATCTCTCTCGATAATTTTCACATTCTTCCAAGTACTTGGAGGCTCTTCACTTTCATTAAAATTCAGATTTGGTTTTCCAATGATAACTTCCATAGGAGGCTTGATCCTAATCGATGGTGTAGGTTTAATAACATTTTGTTCTGTCATATAGTCTGTTAGACTAGTTCTATTTGTCAGATTCGAGTTATAAAATGGATATACAGGTCTTTTCTTTGTTGTTGACCAAGTTGTTGTTGTGATGACTTTGTAATTTGGTATCCGTGTCAATGGTCTTCTGGTTGTGGTATATTTGTACTTTTGTGTTGTTGAACTTGGTACTGGTACCATCTGAACTTTAGGGATATCGATTTCCATTGAAACTAAAGGTTTAAACGTTGTGTTTGGTAACATGTTTGATATGAGAGGGGGTGGATTCATACCTAAAACTTCCTCATCCATTGTCCGTACTGGAGGAGGTACCAGTTCTTTGAGGAAATTTGGTGTATATGTTTTTTCTGTTGAAGATAAAATTTTCATTTTTATAGAACCATTCTCTTTACTAGGAGCTTTCACTATTTCATTAATGTGTGGTAGTACTGATGGAGGAGGTTTCAAAACTTCCATGTCTGATATATCACTTGCAGGATTATCTGGTAATGTTATTTCACCAGTATTCAAATCGGATGTCACCAAGTCATCCGATAACGTGGATTCAGTAATGGGTTTTCGAATTTTATTGGAATATTTTTCTGTTGTGATTTGTGTGACATTATTATTGAATGATGGAACATGGTCATCTAAAACGATTGCTTTCTCTGCTTGGGTATTAACTGGAATCATATTAGATTGCGATTTCTCAGAATTTTCAGGAATGTCAATGGGAATATCAATCGGCAATGACGTTACACTGGGTCTCACATTTTCATGTTGAACCGATCCAGTTGGGATTTCTGGCTTATGGGCATAATTGAAAAAGTCTTTTTTATTAGCTTCCGTCTCATCAATGAAAATAAGTACTGGTTTTTGGAGATTAGTTGCACTCGTAGATGAAATGGATTGATGAATTTTTGAACCCAAATTATTATAACCGGAGTGTGATCTGTTTGGTTTATCATACGAGGAAACTGGTTTAAATCTATCACCAAAACCATAGTCAGGTTTGGAATTCGAAGATTTATTTTTACTATGTCCGTGTGAGAATTGAGAACCACTAATAATAGTTTTATGAGATTGTGGTTTAGCAACGAACTGACTACCAGCTACCACAAATACTTTCGAACTAGTAGCTTCAGAAACTCCTGGAGTGGTGCCTTTGGATTTTGATAAATTATTGTTACCTTTCACATTTGTTTCTGTGAAGGAAATCCGATTTGCGCTAACGAAATTCGTTTCAGATGGTTTCATTTGAATTTTTTCTTTATGAACGGTCCTTTTGGTATCTGGTTTGGATGTAACGAATGGTCTCGGATTTTGAGTCATAACAGGAATTTGAATTTTGATATTTTTGTCATAGTATGGAACATATTCATCATTTGGAAATCGAACAGTATTATTCGAGGAATAAGGATTTTTCTGAGCTTCAAGAATCTCTGTGGGGACTTCTCCTGGTAGTAGTGGTCTACTATTTGATTCCTGAACAACTTCACCATCTTCGTTTTCTAGATCATCATCTCGGTGATAACCTACCTTTAAGTCACTACTAGAATATGCCGACGAATTTGATTGCGTCCTAATATGGGAATGATATTCTGGAAGACTACTGGGTATTTCAATATTTTGATAATGAGATACGTCAAATTTGTTAGGAGCAGGGTACGGTATAGCATAACTTGGATAATGCAAATTGAATTGCTCATTAAGAGGTACCTCTGAAACTGGTAATGACGTTTGCGGTCTCTTTATCGGCGGGCGTTTTGTCCAAGTATTTTGAACTAATGGTGGAGGAGTCATGTACTGTATCAAGTCTGAATTATAAATTCTAGGCGGTTTAAGCCACCACTGGCTTCTTTCTGGGATAGACGGAATTTTTGTTGTGTTTTGTGGTTTTGAAATTGGTGTATGGTCAGGAGTTATTTGTTCTGGTACTCCTACTGCTTGATGGCCAGTAACATCATTCACCTGTATTTTGTAATTTTGATTTTTTTGGTGTAGAATATTGCCAGGGAGACTACTTCCGTGATTGGGTTTATGGTCATAAGAAGCATCTTCTTCATTCACGTATCCATTTTGATATGTATAATGAACAGTACTGGGAACTCTATAATCAGGCTTACGTTTATCATTTTCGTATGCATGTTGATATTGCTGATCAACAGGACTTAGAGTTTTATGATCTGGCGTATGGATATAAGACGTATCTTTATCGTTAACGTATCCATTTTGATATGTATAATGAACAGTACTGGGAACTCTATAATCAGGCTTACGTTCATTATTTTCGTATGCATGTTGATATTGATGATCAACAGGACTTGGAGTTTTATGATCTGGCGTATGGATATAAGACGTATCTTTATCGTTAACGTATCCATTTTGATATTTATGATGAAAATCGTTGGAAGTTTTGTGATTAGGCCTGTGGATATAGGACATATCTTCATCATTATTGTAACCGTATTGATTTTTATGCTCATCATTGCTGGGAGTTTTATATTCAGGCGTTTGAATATAATACAAATCTTTATCATCAACGTGTCCATGTTGGTATTTATAATCAACAACACTAGGAGTTCTATGCTCTGTAGTATGGAAATAAGGCGTATCTTTGTTATTTAAGTTTGCATTCTGATATTGATAATAAATAGCATTGGATTCAGGTTTTGAATGAACACTTTCATATTTATCGTTCTTAATATGCTTATTATTATTTCTATCATCTTCAACAACCTTGTGAGACGATTGTCTAAATACACTATCAGCATGATTTATTACGTGAGCATTGAAATCGTTTCCCTGATGCATCAAACCGAAAGAAATTGGTGGAACATTCAGACTGACTTCATGATTGTTTCCAATTGGTACATAAACACCATTTTGAATTTGTGAACGTGTAGGTTTGATGTTAACGTCCACATTCTGATTTTCACTTGTGACAGGGTCGATATTGATGAGTTGATTCTGGACTTTGATAAAACCATTCACCTGTTTCTGATCTACTGAGTCGCCCTGGTAAACAGAAGCTACCTGAGGAATGCCATTATCAAATTCTATTCCTGAAAACTCTGGTTCGGGATATGGAGAAGGATCATCAAAATATTGTCCGTTTCTATGTGGTTCTGTAGATCCACCGTATATCAAGGCAGTGGTTCTGTTGAACGGAAGGCTTACGAAAGCAACCTGACTAGGCTGAATATTGACTAGCAAAGGCTGACCGGTAGATCGTTCAACAATTTCTGGAAAAACTATTGGTTCGTTGATAATTGAGGGTTTTATACTGAAATCATTGATCAACGTAGTGGGTTCATTAGCGAAATGACTATGAGCATATAATGGGTAGGAGTGTTCCGCCATGGAATTGTAGTTTTGTTGTATAGTTCCTTGAAGGTTTTGATATTGGTGTTCAAGATTGCCTTCTTTGACTTTATATGCAGAATCATAATACTTTTGACTCTCAGCAGATACTTGCTTGTTTAGAGGTACCTTGAACTTGGTGCCATAGCTGGGTTCAATTGATTTTATTAGTGGATGTAGAAGGTTTTTTCTATTATTCAGAGAGCTGTGCATGGTTCCAGGCACAGGTGGTGGAGGACCGATGTAATCATCTTTATTTGGTGCATGAACTATATTTGGAACGGGTTTATTATGATCTATGCTTAAGATAGGTATATGTTTATATTCGTGACTTTTGTTTCTGAAGTTTTTCGGAACAGGAGGTGGTTTCATTCCTATTGGTGCACCATTATCTATTGTTATGTGATGTAGAGGAATTGAAGGGATTCTAGGACCAATTCGACCTGGTTTTCCAACAATAACGTCCGAATGAGCAGTAATTATTTCTCCTGGTGAAATCGGTATTCCTCCATTCAAAAGAGGCGTTTCATGAGGTGTACTAGATATCTGTTTCGATGGGGAGTCGATCCAGTCAAAATTGGCAATATTTTGACTTTCCGCTATTTCAAAATCATCCGCTAGTCCTCCAACAGGTATGTAAATTGGAGATCTATTTTGTGAGTCATAAGAAGATTCTCCATTAGCTTTATGAATTACATCAGGGTTTTTGCCAATAGTAGATCCTGTCGTGATGTTAATATCATTTCTTCTATTGGTTTTCAAATTAGTGCTGATCAAACCGGCCATAGCATTGAGAACAGGGGTCAAAACTTGCAAGCTGTTGATATTAATTGATGCTAAACCCAACAAATCTGATTGGGAGGAATCCGGCTTTTCAATTTTATTTACTGGTTCATCTTGTCCATTTTCGTATAGAATGTTGACAGGCTTTTGGGTCGGAGTTCGAGTTTTTATTTTATTTTTTTCTGTTTTGGTTTTTGATGGCAAAATATTATCGTAATTAGTTTTCATTTTACTCTTAGTGGATCGTTTGCTTTTATTTGGAGCTGTTGGTGACTCACTCACTTCGATAATCTCTGAACTCACGAGGGAAGCTAAGCTATTATTATGGTCAAGAGTTTTCAATTTTGAGCTCGTAGTTAGTATTGGTGTAGCTGTAAGTTGGGCAAATGGATCATCATCTATGAAAACAATCGTTGACCCTGTGATGATACTTGGTGAGGAAGATTCCAATGTAGTAGTTTCGCTTTGTATCTTCAGTTTTGGAATTTCAGTTTTCTCTATAGGCAATGTTTTGGTTGGTTCAATTCCGTTTTCACTTTTAGTAGCGAAAGCTGTTACCTCAAGTTTCTGTCCATTCAACAAAGTTGCAACAGTAATGACTGTGTTGTGACCTTCATCGAGGGAATTTTTGAACTCATTCAAGTATGATTCATCTAGAAGGTCTGGATTTATAACTTCAGTAATCAAATTTTCAACAACTTTAGTTCTCGAACTTATTACTGTTGGGGTTGCTTCGTTTCCTTCCTGAAGAAGGGTTGTGAAATAAGTGAAAGTGGTGAAATAAGACTTTGTTGCAAGAATCTGGAATTTCTCTAGACCACTAGACTCTCTCATATCTTCAAAAAAATCATTTTTGGCTGAAGAAATTGTGCTCTCAATGATATTATTGGTTTTCTTTGGCAGAAGATATAATTGTTCTGTTACAACATCACTTGATGTTGAAACATTCATCTGGACAACTTCCTTTCCATTCTCTATTAGTGTATTGTAGTATGTATATGTAACAAAGTATGTTTTGACAACATCTGTTGTGATATATGAGGAGATCGAGGAAGGATTCTCTTCCAAGTCTAAAGCTATATATGAGGTCATTACTGAAGTAGTTTGTGGTGGTACGCTTTCTGTTATGACAACCTGAGTCACCACTTCTCTGGTACTAATAACTGAAGTTTTATCTCCCTCATATAATGTTTTTTCAAGACCAATTGTACTATAATAGGTATTGGTGTCTTTCATCGCTGAAATCGTTTCCGATGGTTGCAGGAGTGAAAGATAGTCATCAGGAGCAGTGACAGTATTTGTAACAGTATGTTCGGAAGAAAGGACCAGTGGCTGTTCACCATCTAAAATTGTATTTAGGTACGTATATGTTGTATGGAAGACCCCAACGGATAAATTTGGAAACTGAAATGTGAAATGAAATTTTTTTCATCAATAATAAAAAATTTCATAGATACATCCTACCTGAGTTAATGTTACACCCATAGCAGGTGTTGGTAAAATTTTACCCGTGTTCCTTTCTTCTGTAGCGACGTTCGACACGATCTGTTCATGACTAGAAACAGTAGTAGTACTTCCCTCAAGATAAGTAGTCAAATAAGTGAATGTTGTCAAACATGTTTTGGTAACAAACTGGTTAGTGTAAAGGGATGGCATGGTTCCAACCTGGAATTTATGAAAATTTATGGGATTGTTGCAAAATTGGTTCATTTATGTTCGATAGACACAAAATGAAATGACCCCGCATAATTTTATAAGTAAATTCGGCAAACCATAGTAAGAATTAATGACTAAAAATGAGAAGGATACTCAGGAAGGTAGTAGAAATAATTTTGATTGTTGGCTTTTTATTGAATTTCATATGAATGATGATGTTCAAAGTTTTAATGTAAGTTTCATTTCATTGATCTGAATATATTCTGTTAATATGAAAGTAGTCATCTAGATAGTGGCATCAAGTGTTTCAATATTCTTCCTAGAAAAATAAAATATGTTTCAAAGAGCATTGATGAAATTATCTTTTGATATTCAATCAATTCATATGTATATGTCTATATATTTTTATACTATAGCTTGTGTATCACTTCAACTTGTATTGACTTGTCCAATTCCATGTAAAAAAGGGCTTACACCGGAATAAATGGACTATCGTTATCATATGAAAATGGAGACATCCTACATTTTGTTTTATGAGAGAGAGAGAAGACACTGGCAGAGCAAGATCTTCAGATGATGTGGTGCTGCAGGTTTTTCCGGGTTTCCCTGCAGCTGAAAAAGCAAATGCGCTGCTGGAATCAGTGAAGTTGCCCCGGAGCGCCAATTGATTTTTATTATTATTTATATATTGTACTTTTAATCAAAGAAATGAAACTAATAGTTTTTTCTGGAATCTGACGGGTATCAATGTATTCTCCTTTCAGTACATCTTGATCATCTTCTTTGAAAATACCAAATCATACTTTTATCAAATATGAAATAGTAGTGTATCCTAATTTAGACAGAATTTGGATAGTATACTGGAAGTTTACACATATTTTTCTGCGAATATTTAATTCTGTCAAACCATCAACTTTTTTCAAATTTTGAGTGTAATATTTTTGGTACCAATGTGAGTTTTCTTTTGCGCTTGATCGGAAATTTTAGCTACTGAATTTGTTTCAGAAATGCAATCTATTTTTATTTGAAAACAAGATTCTCAAAAAGTAATAGTATTTCACAAAAATGATATTCCTATTATAATCATTAACAAATTTCAACATCTTTATTTTCGTCGGAAATGTATCTGGGATGAACTTATTTCAGTATGTTACTCACTATGGACGTAACAATATTTCTTGCCAGATATTCATCAGATGAAAATATCACAAGTATGGGATCAGTATGGCATTCAAAACACAACAGTTGACACTTTTAAATAACATAATAGAACACATCAGGTTGGAATATCTTTGCAAAAGTTCTTCTACATCTACTAGAGAATGCTTTAGAAACCTTAGCTGAAGCAATTAACAACATATTTTCGAGAGAATTATTTCCTGAGTGTTGGAAGGCTGATTAATCAACTGTCCAAGGGAGAGGACTGATTCAGTAAGAAACCTATAAGACCTACTTCACTACTGTCAACTATTGCGAAACTTGTAGAAACGCATGTTAATAACAAATTGGCGTCATTTCTCAGTAAAAATTATTAACTCAGAAACTGTCAGTTTGAACTTCAGGAATTTGAAAGCACAAATGATGCTGATAGTGAAAAATATCTCAAAATGAATGAGGTGAGACAGAAGCAGTAATGTTTTCTGACCTCGCAAAAGCTTTTAACTTCTTGGATCATTCAATTCGTTTAAACCAGAAATATATGTTTCTAGGGATGTTGCTCTGAGATGGTTTCAATCATACTTGTCAGGTCGAACCCAAGAGTCTCTGTTGATGATGAAACTTTCAAACTCCGTTCAGTGATTTGTAGGGTATCTCACGGTTTTGTTCCGGCCCATTATATTGTTTCCGATACACTCGTCTATAAATGACTCAGCCCTTATTGATTTGTAGAAGAATGATGAACTCCGTGATAATATTCAGACTGATTTAGATTACGCTAGGAAATTGGACACTCGCTTTAAATTTAGCGAAGAAATTTTCACTGGGATGTTTTGCTATAAGAGTTCTTTTGAAGGAACTGACTTTATCATCATCGGGAGCCATCATCTATTTTGCATTAATTGAGTCTCAGCTCAGATATGGAATTGGTTTCTGGCAAAACACCTCTCATGGTTCATTAAATTACTATTTCGTTTCATATATTCTAGCTGTTAGATATATGTATAAAGCGAAATCCAGAGAATCTTGTGAAACCCTATTCATTGCACAAAAATAATTATTAACAGTGACGGACATTTTCATGTTGAAAAGTATGTATGATGTAGTGCTGAAATTGGCTCGATGGCTAAATACGATACAAGTTTTGATAACTTCGTGATATCGTCGCCGATACCTAAAACTACATTGGCAAAACAATCCATTATGTATAATGTCAAGAAAATGTTTGATTATTTGGTAATATATATTCGATCTATATTCATTCATGAAAAATTCAGAAATGCTGTGAAATATGTATTGCTCCAAGAATTTCATTAAATAAATTTGTGAATATTGAAATTTAAATATTAATGTTATTGACTTTGTTCACTTTTATGATAATGGTTTAATTGTCATCAATGTTAATTCTCACTGTATTTTTATTGCATTTCTATAATTATATTGTGAATATTTTTTGTATTGACAGTGTATTTAAATGAGTACTTCACTTTGTCATAAAAAATTACTGTTCATTTCTCTCTCTTCCTTTTCATATCATGAGCTACATTTTTCAGTGAATAAATACCGTTATCATGGCCATCATCATTATTATTATTCTTCAAACTGGGTTTGCGCTGGTCTGGCCCTATCCTTCGAAGCCCCGATATTTTCAGGAGGGCGCGCCAGCATTATCGGCCAACGACAACACCGTGGGATAAGTGATCATTGGGTTCGGGAATAATGTGCTCTGAGAAAGCGCAGTGAGCCACGAATGACAGCCTTCTGCATTTGTCCGGCTAATATTTGAGATGCATGCAGATGTTCGTACATAGGATGTTTTTTGTCTAAACCGACGTGTTCACGGAGTCTTACTTCGAAATTTCTACCGGTCTGGCCTGTATATACTGCAGAGCATTCACTACATTCTATTCTATATATGCCAGATTTCTTCATTCTGTCACGTATAGTTTTTGCATTAAATATGATTTTGGCTAAATTATTATTACTTATGAAAGATGTTATTATGTTGAATTTGGAAAAGTAATTTTAAATATTTACTGAAAGTTTACCTGAGTAATTAATGCTGCTATATTTGTATGTATTCTGTTCTTTGATGTATGGGTACAGTTCTCTCATAATAGTTTTATGGGTTTTACCTGAAATAATCTTTTCAATTAAGGACACCTAGTTATTGACCGCTATTTGTTTGATGACTTTCAATTCATTCAATTCGGTAGATATTTCGAAGTAAGACTCCGTGAACACGTCGGTTTACCAAAAAAAATAAATAAATAAAAATTTTCAATGTACGAACATCTACAAGAAACAAACCACAAAATAAGTAAGTAAAACCTCAAAATCTTACATACATGTAGTAAAGGAAGGAAATTGAATTTGTTGGAAGCCATGGAAATCAATGAATCAATCAAAAACTCAAAATATAGAACCCTTAACGAGCAAACAGATTTGTGTAGGTCTCCACTTTTGAATTTATAAAGATGACAACGCAATTAATCACAGTTTGAAGTTTATGTAGTTGGTACTAATGATATAATATACTCCGATATTTCTCTTGGGTCAGTAGTGTTAGAATACTTGAGAAGGTGTAAAAACCGAAACCTTGTTCGTATGAATTCAATACATTAAGTAAGTGGAAATTAGACAAAGTATTTTATTTCTATATCTATATCATTTAATTGAAGATGAATTTCCACAAAATAAATAAGTCATCAATATCACAAATTAGGTACCATGTACCTAATTACAACCGTTCTGGAGATATTGATTTTTTTTATGCAGATGCTAGGTACAATTCGAAACTAAATAACTTCGAAATGAATAGAATTCATCTCTTCGAATTCCGCCCGAGCATAAATTATATTTTGGGCTGTTGATTTCGATAAAATCTGTTCATCAATATTATACAGAATGTTCAAAAAAAATCATTGCAACTTTTTTATAATTTTGGACAAAAATATTTCAAATCTGGGATTTCCGCAATCTCCAACGGTTCCGCTTCAACACTGCACTTGTACGTATGGGTAACAAAGTAATCATCATCGCCAATGTTCTGTTTGCTGGTAATAAAAAAAATATCTCTTATTTTAAAGGATTTTATTTTCTAAACTGTGCCTGAAATCACATATTGTCTCGAAGTCGAGCTACTCCATAAAAACAATAGTTTTTTTTTATATTTACGGTCGAGTAGCCAAACAGAGTGGTACTCGACAAATATGCCAATATATAACACAAAGAAACTGTTGTGAAAAATCCGAATGACTCTATACGGTTAGTTGCAATCAACATATTAAAAATATGATATTATATAATCATCTATTAAATTCATATCTATGAATACCTTAAAGTTATTCGGATAGATCATTTCCAAAATTTATTCAAATCACCACTACGTGTTCTCTATACGAAGCCAAGCTCAGAAAAGACCCTTTCAAAACTTCATCTTCCACACATAGAATCGGTATCGGTTCAAAGTTTAAACCATTGTACAACTTGTTACATTAGTCCCCTCTGTACCTCACTACACTATGACAATGAATTCAACAAAACTACTCTTTGAAAGTGAACTCTTTGACTGGCCAATCCCATGGCGCTAAACGCTTAAATCAACGGTCAATCAAAGAAGAACTGCGACGGCGAATAGTGCGGTGTATTGAAGATCTGGATCCCTATGAAATTGAAAAAACAACCGCGTACAAAAGAACATTTTAAAATGTTTAGAATATAATGGATAACATTTCCAGCATTTATTGTAAAAATATGATATTTTGTTTACGATTTTGTTATTTTCAATCATCCTATTTCTGTTATTTTCTGTACTATCACATATTATACCCCTGCAAATTTTTACTTTTTACCTAGAAATGTCTGATTTTTGGTACAGTTGTTTCCTGGAAACTTTGAGCCATAGTAAAAAAAATATTTTGTAACATTCTGTATAATATTGAGAAACGGGTGTACCTAGTAATTGTACCTATCATTTTTGTACAAAAATCAATAACTCGAAAACGGTTATATATGAAATCATATTTTTTTTCTGAACTCTTTAAAATTGTAACGAAAGTTATTTTTATTAAGTACTTTTCTTGTTTATTCACATTTTGTCTTCAATTGAGGACCGCCTGTTCGGTATTGACGATGTCCAATAGGCCGAAACAGCTGTTTACCGGTGGCTCTTAAATTGAAGTCAATATGAGAATGATAAGAATAGTACTTATCTATTTATCTCTCCATTTTCATGGAATGGCAAGTTGACTTGGGTGTTACACCAACAGATGGTTCCACTTATGTCTCACTTGCGTTTGCGAAATTATTTTTATTGAGTACTTTTCTTGGTTATTCACATTTTGTTTTCAATTGAGGACCGCCTGATCGAGAAAAAGTGGTAATATCTAAAACAAACTAGAGTAGTTTTTACATAAGGATTGCAATATACCAAAAAAATTTCATGTATAAAATGGTATAAGGTTATTTTGTCGAAAAATATACTGTAAAAGTCACAATTATAAGAAGTAGCTTACGTTTGATTCTTCCTGAGGCATCATCATGACCATGTGATCCGTAAGTGTACTCGGCTTCAATGTTACAGGTTTTATAATTCCAGTCGATAGTAATCTTTTGAAATCCTCTCCTGGTAATGTTTTCTTGTCACCAGCAACTATAACTTCCACTCCATTGGACATAATTCTCGTAGCAAGGTTGTATCTAGCTTCCTCATTGAAATTTCTACCTTCAGGCTCTGAGTCGGAGTTATAAAACAATAACATGAATAATACCTCGATAGAGGGTTATGTGAGATGAAGTTTTCAACCACATTGAGTAAATTCGAACTTTTGTGATGGAAAATTTCATCAAAAATATATGAAATAAAATTAAAAATGATTGTCCTTCTTGAAAAAAACATTATATTACAGAAACGTATGTACACAAAACAGTTAAATTTGGAAGTAAGGAATGAAATATAGAAATTCACGAGAAGAACAAAATTCTGTACAATGTTGTTCAATTCCATAATGCCACCGTTACAAACTTAGTAAGATTTAAACATTATAGAATCGACCTTAAGTGGAGTTTTTTTATACAAAAGCAGACTCACCTTGGTTAAGAAGTTGAGTTTGTGGGTTATCCAGAGTGGTAATTAGAGTATTTTCAAAATCAGTTAAAGTCTGTGTGGCGTCTAAGTTCAACAATGTTAGAGTTGTAAATTTGATGTGAGACTCAGTTAATACGCTTGTTTTTATCTGAGGTTTCACTTCAGTTGTTGACGTTATTATTTGTTCGTCTCCGCTAACTCTGGTGATGACGAAAGTATATGTCCTTAGTCTACTTTCAGTAACAGTTCTAGTCAGAAATTCAGTGGAAGATAAAACAGTAGTCTTTAGAAGAAATTCAGGAGCATCAAGAGATTCAGTCAGTTCAGGAAAAGAAGGTTCATACTCAGGAATATCTTGGAAAGTAGGTTGATTATTTATGTTGAATACATCTTCATAATTTAGATTTTTTTTCAGTTCTACATATTTTTTGTCAAATGATTCATCTCCCAAATACCCAGAACTTATCTCGTCCTTTTGAACGTCCGAATGTTGTTTAATTCCATTTCCCTCGTATTTTTCATCAATACTACTCATGGTGTTGATTTTCTGTTCAGAATTCTCATCACGTGGTACATTTTCTGCTGCATCGTAATATTCCGTGGATATTGTGTCATCCTCAGTTGAATGGTCATCGTCATTATAATTTTCTTCTTCTTCATTAGTTGTATGATCGTCATCAGTTTCATCATCGTCATCAATTTCCTCCTCATCTTCAATTTCACCATCGTACTCATCGATTTCACTATCGTCATCAGATTCATCTTCGTTGATCTCTCCATCTTCATTTTCAGCTTCTTCAAAACTTTCACCACTATCAACGTTTTCATCTTCGTTGTTGTCGACAATTTCATCTGAATTATTGGAACTATCATATCTTGAATGGTGGAGGTTGTTTTCATAAACAGATTCGACAGCCACACTTTTAATTTCGCTAGTCATTATCGAAGATATGACGTCGTTTGAAAGCCGGACATTTACTGTTTTATTGGAATCAGGTAAAATGCGTTTTCTAGTAATAACTACTTTCCTTCTTGGTTTTGTTGCTTGCTGCACGTGATCTTCGACATCGATATCACCTACATGGTCTCTTGTGAGATGGTTTATAATACGTTTTTTCTTTTTCTTGATTTTCAATCGTCTTAGTATTCGTCTTGTAACACCAATTTCACTGGGTTTAGTATTTGTTTCAAAAACATTATTTTCTCGAGAGTTATATGACGTGTCGTTCATTACTGGTTGAATCCGTATCAGCTTCTTCACAACTCTTTTCTGCTTAAGATAAGTTGGTATAATAGTTTTGATGTCACTAGTTTTGGATAAGTCTCTTTTGATCCTTGATAATTTTGAATGCTTTGATTGTATTCGTTTGCCAATTTTATGCGAAACGTAGAAACTTGAGTTGGAGAAAATGCCCCCATGTTCTAGTGACGTTTCGACCTTTGGCATGAGTGGGGCTACTTTGCTAAGGTCATTTATGCTAAAAAATTATTCGAAATTTCTTTCGAAGCTTTCACATACTCAATTTTATATTTTTCTGAAGATTTTTTTGATTTTGTAGGTTCTGTGTTGAATAGTTCAGGAGTTTGTGTCATATATTTTGGAACATCACCTATAATACTTTCTAAACTTTCTGTTTCTTTTTCAGTTTCCGATGTCTCAAGTGAAGTATCTTCAGTAGACATGACTAAACCATCGAAAATATCAGTCGTACTGAAGACCGATTCAGTAAATAATTTAGAGGGCTGTACACGTACTTCTCTTCTTTTCCTAACACCTTCTTCACCTATTGTTACTGTCGACAGAACAGTTGTGAATTCACCAGGAGTCCTGCCAGATACATAAAGGGTCACAATACTCGTTTCTTTAAGTGGTTCTACTCGGGCGGGTTTGTTGATTTTTCCTCTTCTAGAAGTTTTTCTTCTGGGTGAAAGTGTAGTTTCTTCAGTTTCTTGAAGTTCCTCAGAGTCCACCAGAGCTAAATTGAGCTTATTTTGGTCTTTGTTCAAAGATTTGATTTCAGACTGATCCAAATTAAATACATTGGCTGGCTGTTGAGACAGTAAAAAATTCACTGCAGGTTGCTGCTGCTGAAGTTGCTGCTGTTGAAGTTGCTGCTGTTGAAGTTGCTGCTGCAAAAGGGGTAGTAATAAAGCAGTATTCAACTGTGGTCCAGGAAAACCTAAAGTAGGCGTAAGTACTACTGTATCTGTTAAAAATTCTGTAGCAGTAAGAACATTAACGCTGCTATCGATGATTGTTGTAAAAATTTCTTTGCCTCTGAATGTAAGCGGTATGACTGTTGAGGTTTCGCTTGTTATTGTGGTTATATATGTTGTTGTTCTGGTTTTGAATTCCGTTGTAGGAGTGGGTTGTACTAACGGCGGTTGCTGAAGTCCCAATAGAGGGTTTGGTTGAGGTTGGAGGCCACCTAATAGCAACTGAGACAGCAATATGTTTGCTAGAGGTGCCTGAGCTGCTAGAGCAGGTTGAATTGTATTCACAATCTGTTCTACTTCATAAATCGTACTTGGAATAACATGAGAGTATGATGTTTTGCGCCTATTGATATAAGTAGGAGTAAATATAATACTGGTGGTTGGAGTTTCATTAAGAATAAATTGGGTAATAACTGTTGCACCATTATTACCCGTAGCAGTATTCTCACTCAATAAAACCTTGACTTCCGTCCCAAAAGCATTCTGTGATGTTGAATATTCCAAAGGGCCAAGAACTTCCGTACTATACTTAGCAGTAACAATATTTTTATACTCTGTAATTTTTCCATTGACTACTGGTATTGTTACTTCCATAGGAATTTGATGAGTTATAGTAATTGTTCCGTCAAATGAAGGTAATACAAAGTTATCGTTTTCAATATTATCATTATTTTGATATCTTGGACGCTGAGTATTTTTGGCTCTATTATTCGTTCTCGCATTTTGTCTGTTACTACTAGATGATTTTCTCGGAATGGCTGACGATTCAGTTTGATGGTTGTTACGTAATTTTGGAGGTTTTGGTCTAGAGACAGTTGTAGTTTTGCTAGATCTACCTGATGATGAAGTGGGGCGTTTAAAATTATTTTTCTTGTCATTTTCTCGGAGGGTGAATTGTGTTCTTGTTTGATTCGATTTAGTTGGTGATATTCTCGATCTCTTGTTAGATGGAGAAGAAGTCGTTGAATGGGAAGTTTTGGCATTTCTAGCTTTATTAGAATATCTTCCTCTCGAAGACGGCTTTTGGGGTTTTTCAGTTTGTTGATGGTGATTTTCCGGAGAAGCAGTTGTACTAGTTGGTCTCCGGAATCTAGAGTATGTATCACGCTTAGATCTTTTCCTGAAGAATGGTTGAATTTGAACGTTGTTTCTACTAAGGCTACCACTCTCAGATATTTGTGAGGTAGGAGGATCTGATATTTGGATATTTGTTAAAGAACTATCATAATCGGTATCTTCTTCTGGTTCGCCCTCCTCCTCTAGATCTTCGCCATCATCAAAATCTTCTTCCTCTTCTTCTGGTGCATTCGTTGTAGTTGTGAATAAACCACGTCTAGGGAACAATGCATTAGGTCTTGGTCTAAGTAAACTACTTGGCCTATTGAAAGTTGTGTTTGGTTTAGATGTCGTTTTAGTTGCTCCTTTTTTCGGTAGATTTTTTCCGGTTCTCACTGCGGCGCTTCTTGGTGTAGTACGAGCTGCCAGAGGTGGCCTCCTGAATCTCAGAAGTGGATTTTGATTTCGTTTAGATGATGATATTTCCGTTGTGGATTGTAAAGCCAAAGTTGTGTCATTATCCTCTTCAGTAATGTCGGTAGGTTCATCAGTCACTATGGTAGTCAAATCATTTTCAGCATCAGAGGAGGTTTGAGATACAATATTTGAGCTGGGAGATCTAAGTAAACCAGAAACTAGAGTAGGTCGAACTCGGGGTCTAGCTCCGAATAAAGAACTAGGTCTGATTGAAACTCCAAAGCTTGAAGATCTGAATCCACCTCTTCTTGAACTAGATCCAGATATTGTTGGTTGAATTCGTGAACTACTGCGTCTTCCACTTCCAAAAGTTGAGCTGAAGCCATTTCCACTACCGGTAGATTTTGGTCTTGAAAATCGCCTGCCACCCGATGCCGTGGGTTGAATAATGTTAACACCCGAAGATGATCGCCTGCCACCGAACCTGTTCGGTTTAGATGCAGGAACTGCAGTAACAGTTGGAGTAAAATCGCTTCTAGTAATGGTAGCAGCTGTACTTTGTCCAGATTGTTTGCGTTTTGGAGCAAACGTAGGTCTTTGTCTTGAAGCAAATGGTCGAATGGCTGGTGTACTGGTTCGTTTTCGAGATTGAAATGATAATTTATATTTCGTTCTACCACTCTCTTTTTCATCCGGTTCGTTTTCATCATTCTCTTCAGAACTTATTTCTTCATCTTCTTTTGCAGAGTCCTTAATAGACCCCTCTATCGCAACTGGAGATGGGGAAATTGTGTTGGTTGTGGAATGTATTTTCTCAGGTGCTTGAGTGGGAGTAGGTATTATACTGTGTTCAACAATACTTGGTTTGACAGACACCTGGGCTCCGACGAGAAAGCTAGAAGTACTTTCTATAATTTGTGCATATTTTCCATCTATGTTGGTACCAAGAACCTTTGATTCATAAAATGTTGTGGTATCATTTTGAACAATGGATCCTTCTATGACTCTAACCAATCCCGTTCTGTGTGCTATTGGCAAGTCTGTTGGCAGTGCTGCTTTCTTTACCTCATCAACGGCAAGTGAACTCGTACTTTCGATTACTTGGGCATATAGATTATCAATGTATGTTCCAATAGCCTGCGTTGTATAAAATAAGGTACTAACACCTTCAGCATCAACTATCTTTCCCTTGTTGATACTTACTACTCCGGTGGGGTTTAAATGAACCGATTCAATAGGGGATGATTTTATTTCGTTAGTTGAAATGAAAGAAGTACTCTCGAGAACTTGAGCATATAAACCATCAATATAAGTTCCATAAACATCGGTTGATAATATTGTGGTGGTGCCATCGTTTTCTAATGAACTAATCAATGTAGACAACAGTCCGGTTGGCTTGATAGTACTAGTAATACTGGGAAGTTCAACCTTTAATTTATTATCAGTTTCCTCTATGCTATTCCCTTTACCGGATCCAACTGCTCTCCCAATATGATTACTGCTGAGTTCGAAAGAATTGTTCAAAACGTTTGTTACAGTTTCCAGTCGACTATTCAAAACAGTATCATCCCCAATATATGATGTTGTGTAATACGTATATGTTGTGAAATAAGTAGTCAGATCATCGTCTCCTATACTTGAAGGAACTATATTTTCAGATGTTGTAGGGAGTATTGTACTTGATGATTCTGCACTTGTTGGAACTGACTCATTAATTTCTGTTGCTTCTATAGCAGGTGTTTCAATATTGGAAACAGTTTTTTCTCTACTGGTTATTTTTGTAGTACCGTCTTTATATAAAGTGGTCCAATACGTAAATGTGGTGAAATAGGTTATAGGTAAAGTAAGATCTTCCACGCTCAGTGTTTGCGTTGGTGTTAACGTTTGCGTTACTACATTTGTAATTGTTTCTAGTCTACTGACAACATTGCTAGAAGTTGTACCATGATACATGGTGGTGAAGTACGTGAATGTCGTGTAACTAGTTTGAAGGAGCAAAGTAGGCGAAGGTATGATTTCAGAATCATTATTTGATTCCGATACAATCTGGTCATCCGCCAGCACATTACGTTTATCAACATTATCTATAACCCTACGAGCTCCTTCTGAAGTACTGCTTCGCACATCTGTCACCATTGTAGCAATGGTTTCATATTCACTCAAATTAGGAATATTGTTTTCTGTTATTTCATCGTTATTTGAACTATTTACTTCACGTTCCAACGTTACATATTCTGTTGATTGTTTTGCTGAAGTTGAAATTTTGTCTACTGATTTATAATCTGAAGTTTCATAAATTTCGTTGTCACCTTGATTATCTGAGTCATGAGGCTTTTTTCGATTTATCGTATTATAATTATTTTGAGCTCTTATATTTGATTTTAAGATTTTCTGTCTGATGTAATCATTATCATCATATTTTGGTTCTGTTTCTGTATGTTCTTCCCCCAGAGACGCAACGTTTGTGGGTTTTATGTCTTCATCAAGTATACTTTGGAACGAGGGAGTAACGTAGTTCGTGTAAACTTCTGTTCTACTGGATATTTCAGTTTCTCCATCAACAAAAATTGTTGTAAAGTACGTATATGTGGTGTAATAAGTTTTAACACCATTTACAGTTTGCAAGAGCTTATTATCGTCAAGAATAGGCGTTGGTCTAGAGAGAACAGATTCCTGAAAATCTGTGGGAAATTCTTCTGAGTTATACGAAATAGTGGGAGCAACAGTTTCAGCACTAGAAGGGTCCATGTTAGCAACATCTTCGAATGTCACAGTTTTAGATTTATATTTTGAGAGTAAACTCCTATCGTTATCAAATAATCCAGATACGGCATCATCTGTAGCATCTTTTCCTGGATCCAAAGTTGACGTGATAACGTTTGTAGTAACAACTATTCTACTAGCGACTGATGAAGTTGTTTCTTGAAAGTACGTCGTAAGATACGTATAAGTTGTGTATAATGTTTTAAATATTACTTCAACTTCATCTCCATCTTCAGTTGTTGCATCTGTTGATTCCCCTTCTGATTCCGTCATATATTGGCTTTCCGTTGTTATTTCTTGAGGAGTTGTTTCTGAAAATTCAACTGTAGATATTACTTCCTCCGTCACTTCTAAAATATCATCAGAAATGGGAGTAGTCTCATCAGTTTCTTGAATAGTTGTGTTATCATCGATAACTGGTTTTGGTGTTTCGGATTTTGGAAGTATGGAAATTTGATCACACAATGTTGTCTGATAATTAATTTCCGATGATATAACTTCATTAGATTTAATTGAAGTTGTCGTTGTTCCATCACTGGGAATGAAAAATGTTGTCAAATATGTCAACGTTTTATAGACAGTGGAAGGAACAATTTTACTTCCATCAGAACAAACAATGTCAGCAAATTTATTATCCTCATTTTTTCTAATATCTGGTGTTATTACTTCAAATGGTGTGGTACTAATAATATTCTCACTAGTCGTTAGAATTTCATCTTCAGTTGCCGTTTCTTTTTTGAACGTTGAAGGTTGTGTTTCAGATACTTCTTCCGTAGTTATGTATGTAGTTATTTCTCCATCAGTAGTCATCAATATTTCTTCTTCAACCAGTTTGCTTGACAATGAATGTGTTGTTGAACTTGTTTCGATTGGGAAGTCATCATCGAAAAATATTGTTGTTGCTCCACTTACACTGAGATCTTTGAAAGTTTCTTTGGGTAGATCAGGAATGTTATTGGATACTCTGTTGAATGGCTCTGTTGATTGTCTAGCTAAGGCTTGCAGAGATGCAAGAACATTTGCGATATCTTCATCGGAAGGTGTTGATAACATTATTGGTTGACTCTCCGATGGTTGAATAACATCTGAAGAGAAAGTAATTGAAATTTTACTACTTTCTGTTTCCTGTCCCTGTTCATGAGCTAAAACAGAAGATTTTGCATCCATGTCTATTTGTTCATCAAGTATCTCACTCTTAGGTTCTCTTGCTCTATCTGTTTTATCTATCACCATAGTCGGAATAGAAGTTTTCATTTCTAGTTTATGACCTTTGAAAGTCTTTGTTTCTATAGGTGGCTCCAAAGATAAAAATGTTTTGATTTGTGTTACTAAAGGTGGTTCTTGTAGAGTAGTGGTGGGCTGAATTAATATAGGTTCGACAGATATTTTTGTAGTTTCAGCTAGATTTTGTATTTCCGTCGTTGTATGTGGTGAAAAAATGATGACAGTGTCTCCAACAGTGGTAGTGAAATCTGCGAAACCACTGTAGGTTATTGATGTTAGATCTTTAGGACTTGGTTTGGTCAAACCAGCTCTGAATAATAATTTTGCTCTTCGTTCAGCTGGTGTGGTTATTTTAGCTCGTTCTGTACGTTCCTCAAATTCTGGGAGATCCCCCAAAAACGATACGGAGGGGGAAAATTCATTCCTGACGGTGAAAGTCGGTAAATTTTCCCAAGGTTTCACTTTCGATGGTGCAAAATTATCGAAAAGAGGTTTATCATTCGTTTCTTTGTGATTTATGATATTTTCCTGAGTGATATCACGAATTTGTGGACTTATTTTGAATACCTTCACGTTATTTTGAATTGGAATATCAACACTGTTTTTTAAATCATCATCAAAAGGCACCCTGAAGTTATTTGATGGTGATTCTTTCAATATTTCCTCTTCGATAATTTCCTGTGGACTACTTAGAGTTTCTTCGTAACGGTTATTTGTAATCGGTATATGTGGATTTCCCAATTTAGTAGGAAATACTTGAATACTATCCACGTTATTGGGAGAAATGTAATCAATGTTTCTTATGAATTGTTGAGGATTGATGAGGTTTTCGTTCAGGTGCCATCTTTTATTGGATAGTTCGTGAGCTTTCGTTGGAGAATCGTCGTATAGTACTCTGGAGCTTTTTGTAAGTAAATGAGCATATAAACGTCCATTGTCAAGGGTAGTACCAAGTACTTGAGTGGCGTACTCCGTGGTTACTCCCTCTTGTATGAAAGTTCGAGCAGTTGAGGTGATAAGGCCTAGGTCTGGTTTGACACTGAGAAACCTTCCGAAAGAAGACCTTCCACGACTGTCGACCAGTAGTACAGTGGTGAGATCTATAGGAAAGGAGGGAAAAAGTCAGTTTTCACAATAGATGGATCAATTTACATATTCATATACAAATGGACCCTTTTCCAGAATGAGTTCATTGTTAGTAGCACAATGCCTTCTACATTGAAATTATTGTTTGCCCCCATGAAATATAAATTTTCGTCTCCATCTCGAAATTTTGTCCACGGCACATTTTATGTGTTTCTTAAAAAGTTATCCAAATTTCTAATAATTTAAAATATAAATCTATTTAGTAGTTGTGATTATATCATTTCTCATCTAATCTCTCTCATGGAAGGTTGAGATGAGATCATCATCAAAACTGTAGACAGAACAATGAACATCTATATTTCTGGTGTTTTGAAGTTTATTCTCGTAAATGAAATTACTTCCAATTATAGTATCTATATGAAAAATGGAACACTTCTAAAAAGTAAAACTTTTTAATAAAGTGTGTAAATCATCCGCAAAATATATCTTCTGATACAAACTATGAGGAAAAGTGATGATTAATTCTTTCGAATGGAATTTTATATCAATTCTTTTTTATTCATTGCTCGGTGTAGCCTTTCTTTTAAATGACATCTGGTCATATGAAGGTTTGGTGTACGAAATGAGCCAAAAAATACGTTTTATTTATTGTATATTTACTTTTCTGAAATAGTTCTGAATCGGATCGGGAAAAAAACAAAACGGTTCTAGAACGAAACCGTAACTATACTTAGTGAACCAAAACAAATTTTATTGACTGCGCGTGATCGAACTGTACCGAACCGAGAACCAAAACAAACCCGTTCACAATAAATGAAAATTATCAATGAATGAAAACAAAAAACTGCACAATATGGAAGAATTAATAATAACATTATAACAATCAGTGGCAGAACTGAATAGTTTTAGTTCATGTTAGCATCATCTCTTGATTATGTCAACTGAACAATTACGGACTGTGCTCCAATTATGAAAGACCTTAAATCTATTCACAAGAAAAAAAGAAATACTTCAAATAACTATAGACTAATTTTTCACATATAGTCAGTGTGCATACTTGAAAACTGGCTATAAATCAAATCATCTAAAGGAACAATTCGTTCAGGCCAGTGTCAACTCCCTGCACTGTAGGTTAATTGACTAACACTTATAGACTAATTTCTTCACTATTAGTGAAAAATAATAGATAAATAGGGTCGGACTGGCATATCGGGCGATCGCCAGTTTGGTTGAACAGTTCATGAGCCAGTGTGTTCGATGGACATCTGTCTCCCAATAACACATATCTTTATCGCAGGTCATAACGGGAACATTCATTGAGGATTTCATACAAACCAACTTTCTAGCTAAAACTTGAAGTATCGTATTCAAGCCTACACTCAGTATTGAAAAATCATGTTTTCTTAAACACGGATTCTTTCCGGCAATCAAAGACCATTCGGTTTTTTGAAATCCCGACTCAATTGAAGTCGCCGCTCCTTTTTCCTGTAAACCCAAGTTCAACGTTTCCGCGATATATGGTTATTTATCATTTATTTTTTATTTTTTCAGTTTAGAACTACAATCTAGAAGCTTATGGTGTATGTAAATATTAAATTGTATTGTTATCATAATATTTAAATCAGAACCTCAGCGCCAAGTGTATTGAAACGGTAAGTGTGGTTATTTGCAATTATGTTGAAATAAATACCGTTTGCCTAACTGCAAACAGTTGAGCAGAACAGAACAGCCAAGTGAGGATGAGTACAAGTGCATACAAGAAATATTTGATGGACATACTACTTTTGATTACATTGACAAAAATAATTCCTTTGAACATTTTGATGAAAAGTTTGTTTGAAGGTGGTTGACAATGTTTCATAGTGCATTCCATCAGTTCGGATTTACATTGTCTGATATGATATAAAATGAATTAGAATATCTGAAAGAATCAATAAAAAATAAAGACATTAGCTAAAAAAAATGTCAATTATATCAAGCAAAAAACTGAAATTACATTGAAATAATATATGAGCAACAACTGGAAAATGAACAATTGGCAAGAAATGAAAATTAAAATATTTCAAGACAAGTTACTTCACGACGTTTCGATTGTTAGTATCCACAATCGTCTTCGGGTGATGACTGGATTTATTCCTCCGAGAGCTGACTATTTATATGTCATTCGAGTGCTTTCACCTCTTCCCTCTTCTCTCTCCCCGCTTCATAGGTTTTAGCGAGATCTGACCGTTTGGCGGGAGTTGGCCGTTTTCCGCTCGATTATAGGTTTCCAGAATTTGCGTATCTATACGCTAGCTTGGCTACATGCGTTGTTAGACAACATATATGCGGCTCCTTTGAGTTTTCTCCCAAACCAGTGTTCCTCCTTGTGGATGATTTCAGCTTGAGATCACTTGATGTTATGTTGATGAGTCCAAACATGCTCTGCTATTCCTGATTTGCTGATTTCTCCTCGCTGTATGTTTATTGTGCTTGGCAGTGCGAACTTTCAATAGCTTCTTAGTTTCACCAATGTAGGATTATCCGCACTTGCGGGGTATCCGGTAAATGCAATTATTGGAATCGCAGTCGGTGTTTGGTGGCCTGGTTTTCGTGGGGCTGCTACGGATAGTGTTCCCAGATCTGAAGCAGGTTCTGATGTTATACTTGGACCAACTTCTTCATCCACAAGGAGGAACACTGGTTTAGGAGTAAATTCAAAGAAGCCGAATATTTGTTGTCCAACAACGCATTTAGTCAAGCTAGCCTAGAGATACGCGACATATGAAAACCTATAATCAAGTGGAAAACGGCCAACTCCCGCCAAATGGCACTCGAATGACCTATAAATAGTCAGCTCTCGGAGAAGTAAGTCCAGTCATCACCCGAAGACGATTGGGGATACTAACAATCGAAACGTCGTGAATTAACTGGGAGTGAAATATTTTGATTTTAATTTTCATTCCTTGTTAATTGTTCCATTTTCAATTGTTGCTTGTATTTTATTTCATTGTAATTTCAGTTTTTTTTAGCTGATTTTTTGATTTTCATTGATCCTTTCATGGATTTCAAATCATTTTATATCATATTAGACAATGGAAGTCCAAACTGATGAAATGCCTTTAGATGAAAGTAAAGAACTCCTCGGATTCTACTCATAACAAGGAGTTTGTTTTTAGACCAAATCTGGTGAAAAACTAATTTGATTCAATTACAACAATCGATTGGAAAGTTTTATTGTTGGATCTGCTTAGGATTTTGTGAAGAAGAACATTTTTTATTTGCTTCAGGTGTGAGTGTGAAAGTAGTCGTCAACATATCCACACCAGATTGTAAGAACATGAGTTGAGTAGATGTCATATAAATAGCTCTGAGTCTTTTTTGTTATATGAAAACAAAGAGGATGGCGGAACTCAGGGCTAAAAGTGACAATATTAAGCAAATGATGACAGGGATTATTGGAATGGTGAAAATTATAGGGAAACGAGGGTATGAAATATCGTGCTGATGAAAATTAACGTTTTAGAGTAAAGTGAGAAAACTCGAATACTTCAATATCCATCCGGTCAAGATCCCAGTATTCCACGCAATCTGTGCGGAAGGCCAGTAAAAAATGTGTTACAATTGTATTTTGTGCTGCTGTAGGGTTCTGATCGAAAAAAATATTTGTATTCTGAAACTTATATCGATTTGGTATAAGTTGGTATAAGTTTGGTATAAACATATCTTTCAAGTCTAGTTATCAAACAAGTTAGCTGTGAACGTTTTCGAAACTGAATTATATTTTAAATAAAGTTCGTAACAGTCTTGGCCAGAATCTTTTGGAAACATTAATGTGGATGGCCAGTGAGAAAAAAGTTGGTTTGAAGGTGGTTAACAATGTTATGGTGCATTTCATCAGTTCTGACTTCCATGTCTAATATGATTCAAAATGATTTGGATTCCCTTGAATGATCAATAAAATTAAAACGAATAGCTGAAAATAATCATTACATTAAGCAAATAACTCTGAACTGTGATTTGACTTTCAAGCCAAGTTACTTCATTGACCGTTTCGCGGCCAACTCCCGATGGATTTGGATGAATTGCATGTATACTTGATAAAATTTTGAAGATGATCATCACCATTTCATTACATTAGCAATTGGAAATGGTTTTCTATCTAAACTTCGAGATGGAGCGAATCCCAAAGAAAACTGTTATTTTAGTCTGAGATGAAAATGTCAGCTGTAGTATTAAAAGTAAATAGAGTCAAGAATTTTGCATTCCCTAGAAAATAACAAAATAGAATGTCAGCTACACTTAGTTCCCTTCGTAATAAAGTTGAGAAATTCAGAGATACACTGAATGTGTTTCGTTTTCACATTAAGGTTGAGTTCCTTCACTCAGTACGTTATTACCTATAATATCAATTTTATCAATAGGGAAAAAATGTTGGTGCCCCTTTGAAGACTTCATAAAATTTTCATTCAGTGAATAGTAAATATCTAACGAGTGGTAATTTCCATATCTTCATTTTCAAGCTTTTATTCTATCTTGAGAGAATGACAAAAAATGAATGAATGAATTTTTTTAAAAAAATTATCGAAATCGAAAATAAATCATTAGTTTTCCACAGTCCATCAATTAGTAAATATGTATTTGTTATTATCACGATATGATTGATAAAATCTATTCTCACTTATGCTCTTATCAAAACAAAGGTAACTAGTATATTTGAAACTGAATGGTTATCACATAGATTATCAAGCTCAACATTAATTATTCATGCAATGACAGTATCACTTTAACTTGCAGTTATACCTTTTTCATTTTGCCGCCTTCTCCTAGGTGTTTGATTTATATCACCTTCAAAACCTGAAAAAATAAAAAAAGAACATTATTAGTGTTTCATCTCAATTGAAAATAAGTATCCAAATTATTTCTAACTAACTAGACAATTGCATATATCACTATTTTTATCTAAATATTGGACTACCGACTTTCACGTTCTGTTATTTTTGGAAAAAATTATGTCTTTCTCTTGAGAAAAGTTTGGGTGAAACGTTCTTTGAATAACCCTTTGTTTCTCAGATTACTTTTCTGGCAATTTAGTGGTCATACTTGCAGAATTGAAACACGATAACACAAATTTCAAATCAATTCGTGGAAGAAGTATTGTTCAAATTACCTATATCCTGCCTTCAGAAAATGTGTGTGTGTGTGAGAGAGAGAGAGAGAGAGAATGAAGCATTGACGTCGCTCATAATCATCGCTAATATACGTCATTGAAAACAGTCGCCGTTCCGCAGTCCACTAGATTTCAAAGCGGAAGAAGTTTTAAATCCGTGTGAAGAAGCCTCAAGCTATCCAATGATTATGAAAGTGAAGACACACCCAGTCATGGTGAACTTACACCCAGAAACACACATTCCATCAACCTGTTCAGACATTCCAAATCCATATGTAGAGAATTGACGTTATTTCTTTCATACATCTTGTACATAATTATACATTTTGCATATTACAGTATAAAATATGTCACCAAAGTGAATACAGTATTAACTGTATTCACTTTGGGAAATATTAATTATATTATTATAAGGACTCAAATATTAATGCAAAAATTCAAAACATAGATTTACTAGTGTGGTGCTGACATCATATATAAAAAGCTTTTGATAAGACAAACAACCATATGGAAGGACGGAAAATTATTCTAAAAGGAATATTATATTCGATGTATAGGAATTAAACTCTGTTTGAGGGTGCCTAGAAGATGACAGTACTACCAACTGTCGAAAGCATTTATATTATATTAAACAATGGAAATCCGAACTGATGAAATACTCCGTATGTTTCTGATTATATTCAATCCGAATTTCTGAAGCACCTACATGAGTTGTCAATTAATTTGTTTTTACATTAACGTTTTACCATTTTTAGATAAAAATAAAACTGTGTATTGAGTATTGAGACAAAACTAGACTCAAGAAATTTAAATGTATTCCATCAAGAGCACTAGTTTCTCTGAGGCAATCATGTGAGAGTCGTTTTGAAGATGGTGAGAAAGTTGTCATGTTTTTTCCAAAAGCGTTCAGGATTTTGAGTTCAGCGATCTAGAAATACCAGAAATCCAGTTTTTACCGTGAAACAATTTCGAAGAGATGTAAAAAAAAAAGTACATAGAATCCGTGGAACCTATATTAAAAGGTTGTTTCAGAAGTTTTGTCTTTTTTAATGTCCTGTGTTTTTGTAGCTCCATATCACAATAAATATTCTTTCTATTGTGTCGTGGTGTATACTGATCGATAGATAATATTTTTCGTCTCATTTCAGTTGTTAAGTGATTTTTGGAACATTTTTCTCTATGACTTCAATCTGAACTGAAGCGCTGCCAAAACAACCAAAAAAATTAACCAAGCATTTGACAATGAAAGTGTTAATGGACACACTGTTCGATGTTGGTTTGCGAAATTTCGTTCCAAAGATTTTAGCCTAGAATATGAGCTCCAAAGTGGTCGACATACAACAATCTTGGACGAGGATTTGAGGATCTTGGTGGTGATTGACCCAATACAAACGCTGTGTGGGATGGCGGAAGAACTGGACGTCAGCTCCTGTGTGGTTTTTGATGGTTTAAAACTTATTGTAAATGTCAAAAAGTTCGAAGCGTGGTCCCCTCGATTTGAAAGATTGACAAAAGTTTTCTCGTTTCCAGGTCTCTTCTTCTTTGCTTTTGCGCAACTAAAATGATCCTTATTGAAATCGGATCGTCACGTATGATGAAACGTGGATCCTCTACAACAAAAAACATTCAGGGCAGTGGTTAGACATCACCAATTAGTCACCCAGGCACTCCCCAAAGACGAAAACTCACAAAAATGACCATGATTACTGTATGGTGATCAGCGGCTGGTGTGATTCACTATAACTTTCTGCAACAGGGCCAAACCATCACAGCAGAGTCCTATTGTGAGGAAATCGACGAAATCTACCAAAAATCGCGTCAGCAGCAGCCGACACTGGTCAACAGAAGAGGTCCGTTCCTCCTCCAGAACAACGCCCTTCCGCACGATACACAAATCACCGTCCGAAAATCGAATGAATTGAGCGTCGCATGCTGACGAAATTATTCGACTCGTGTTATGTTGGTAAAAATTCAATGATTCAAATGGTGCTTATTTCGATTAAATTGAATGAGTATTCACTGAGATATTACAGTTTAAAGTAGACTCATGAAAACGGACAAAACTTTTGAAATAATCTGATACAAATTTGAAATATATCTCAAGAATTCAAAGGCGAGTTCGTTCCTGAAGTAAGGAATGCCTTTTGAATGGAGAAACTTCCAAAACTATAGAAGTGATATTGAAATGATTCATGTTCGATGAATAAATTAACAGACTTGTCAATCAGATATATTTGTATTGTGTAGGTACTTGTATTTTAGCTAGCTGGCTAAGGGTTGCACATGTATTTTTATTTCAACTAACTAATCGTTTCAATTTCTAAAACATTTCTTCATATTATGAGATTTCTACTTCGAGTGCTTGTTTTGCAATGCATCTTAGATTCAGAGTATCTAACACACTTTTTTAAATCTTGTCAAACATCGTCTACCTATCTGTTGCCTTATAGATGAAGTTGATGAATCAGAAAAACGTCATGTAGGTCGTACATAAACCGTAACTGCGTTATGTTCTGTATTTAACTGTATTATTTGCTAACCGACTGTATTATTTCCTGCATTTCGAAACGGTTATCGATCGCATTTCCTTGATTTGGCTTACCGATTTGTTTTCAAAAGTTTTCAGAATTGACTAATCGTCCTGTTTCTCAAATCATCAGTGATGAGGACATTTAGAAATACATCACACAACGGATACAAGAGGGCCATGTTCCTCCCACATGACTCGTTATTTCACGACCTTTAGGAGTTGGACGGCATTTTTCCGCAAAAATTTCAATCCGTCCAGATTAAAATTATTTGCAAGTCAATTGGAATTAAAAAAATCGAAAGTTTTCTGGATAGATCTGAGATTAACCTATAAATTATTAATATCAATTGTTTTATGAAAATAAAAAAAGGCAAATGTCGTGCGAAGGAACTTGCGGCGATATAAAAGTTTCCCTTGTGAGCCAAATGTCAGCTATTCCTGAAGCAATGTCATTAGTGTTCCAGAGATTAGCATAGGAAGCGGGTTAAAACCAACTGAACTGGTTGGAAATTGAACCTGGAACGAGATGTAGGATACATAAGTTATCACGTTCGTAATTGTGTTCAATATTTTATAAAATGGAAGAATAAGCTTTTTTGAGTATTTGTTTGATATTTTTATTTGATAATAACTTATAATCGGTGGTCTTATAGTATTTGTGCAATCTGGCTTTATCTTTAATAAGTTGAAGAAACTCAAATTGGTAAACATGTTGAACACCAACTGATTTCTCTCAAGATAACACTGAATAATTCGTGTATGCAGAATTCAATGTTCTGTAATTTTTATTCGTATTGAAATTGTTACATTTTGTAGAAATATATTAATAGAGATAAATTCATGATAAGATATTTGTTAGCTAGTACTACATTTTTGTGATTTGAATTGAATTCATCATTACCATTATCAAATTCAACAACTTATCACATTCATTTAAGGTATATAATAATATTGTTTCATGTTTCTATACTCCGCATTCTCGATGAACTATCAATTGTGACAAGAAATAGAGGTGGGGAAATATAAACTCAAGCAAGTAATACAACTCCACCATAATTGATTCTTATTAGTCGAATTTTCACCCATTTTGCCGCTCCATAGCTTTTATATGTGTTCTGTATCTCGAGGTGTAGAGTGTTTTCGAAACTTTGCAATTGAATAACTAGAATGCATGTTGAAGAAAAGAGAATTGAAACTTTCTGTTTTTCACCACTGTCACTTGTAACTAACGTTACTGCAGTTTCATCCTATAAGGACATTTTCAAACTAATACATTTTTAGCTACTTCGAATGTAACCGAAAATTTGTGAAGGTTGGAATAATTGAAAAATCAAATCCTATGATGTTGACTATATAGATTAATTACTTTCCAGTTGTTTCGGCGTGTCATTTGTATGTATCAGAACTGAACAATGGTAACAGTTGCACGCAAAAACCTGCAAAGAAAAAAGTATGCGTCAATTCTTACAAATGTGCAATTCCTAATTCTGCTGCATTTTCTAAAATATGCGAAATGACGAATAGTCATTCAATTGATATTTTGATTCCATAATTCCGTGAGAGAAACTTATTGTATACTTTTCAGAAAAGTATAAGTTCGTTATTTTGAAAGTAAATTCAATATTCTCGTTGGTATTGAAGCATGAACACTCTCGGTATCTTTGGTATCTCGACGGTAATTCATATGAGAATCGTGAATTGCCGAATCGAAACGCTTGAAAGGAAATAAACGTAAGCGACGACGGCATTTTCATGTTCAAGCAATCTCGAATTGCTGTAGGCGTAGACAAGTGACCGACTCTCGCATGACCCACATCAGTATAGCGATGGGCTACACGATTGGGGGTCTTATCTACCGATATAATTATAATTTGCTTGAAAAAATTGAAAAAATAAACCCTTCCCTTCAATTATGAGTTTACATGTTGAGAATAACGAAATCCAAATTGATATTATTTAATGGTCTTTTACTGCTAGGGTGAGACAATAGACTTTTGGAAGGTTGTATAATATCGGAAAAATGACCTTTGTGATGTTAGCAGATCTATACAGTTCCAACGTAAGTAGTTCCCCCACCCTCGAGTGTAAATAATCCCCCCATCCTCTTGACTTTTGAACGAAGCAAAATATTAAAATAGGACAAAATTTGTATGAAAA